CTCAGCCCACCCCCATTACCCCCATGTGGTACCTTCCACTGGGCCCCCTTCCTTGTCACCCCCCTTGGTACTGGCCGTCTTGCCCTCCCCATTGGTATTCACCTCTGTGCTTCCCAACCCATCTCCCAGCTCATTCCCCTGTGGTTATTATCCCTGGCCCATTATGCTTTCCCCTATGTGGCACTGGCTACTTTCCCCATCTCCATGCTCCCCATGGTACCACCCACTGCCTCCCCCCAGTCCAGTCCCCTCAGTGGTACTGGCCAGGTCCTTCTCTCCTTTCCCCCTCAAGTGGTACTGTCCCTTTCCCCCTCATGGTACCAGCCATCTTTCCCCAAAAGTGTCCCACAATGGTACCACCCATAGTACTCCATTCCCTGAAATAGTACTGCGCACCCCCCTGCCTGTTCCTTCATGGTACTGGCCACTCACTCTACCACTCTGTCCCCCCCAATTACCCTTAGTGGTACTGGCCAGGTCTTTCCCTTCTCCCAAATGGTACTGGCTGTTCCCTCTCATGGTACCAGCCAGCCCCCACTCCCAGTTTCCCACAATGGTACCATCTGGGCTTCCCTATTTCCCCCCACCTTGGTATTTCCCTGCTGTCTATTCCCCCATGGTACTGCCCACCCCCCTTCCTCCATTATGGTACCTTCCTTCCCAGCTCTGGGTACCAGGGCACCAGATCCCTCCCCCTGTTGGCTGTCACCTGGCAACCAGAGAAGTGGCCCCTTCTTCCTCTTAAAGGGGAAGCTGCCCTCACAAGAGCATCCTTTGTGAGTGGGCTGGGTCTTGCCCTGCCCCACCTCAATTGCCCCGCTCCATCCCTGGGCCGCAGGTGAAGATCCAGGGGCAGAACAAGGAGATGCTGGCAGCCGCCTGCCAGATGTTCCTGGGCAAGTCTGAGAGTGAGATCACCCACATTGCACTGGAAACGCTGGAGGGGCATCAACGCGCCATCATGGCCCACATGACCGTGGAGGTGGGTGCGGGTCCCCCCCTGCCCTGGTGTCCGTCTGTCGGGGGGAGATCAGGTGTGTGTCCATGTGTCCCTCCTGGCGTGGGGGGTTGTGGGAAAGGAGGGGCCCCCGGGACCAAGACCAGCTTAGGTGGGAGGGCCAGGGGGTGCATCTGTCTGCACATCTCTGGAGGAGGTTGGGTAGGTGTCCATCTGTCTGTCTTAAATCGGGGCACCCCTCAGGACTCACCCTGACCCCCCTCACCCAGGAGATCTACAAGGACCGACAGAAGTTCTCTGAGCAGGTCTTCAAAGTGGCCTCTTCTGACCTGGTGAACATGGGTATCAGCGTGGTCAGCTACACACTCAAGGACATCCATGATGACCAGGTACTTGGTAGCTGGGCCTGTCCACCCAGCCGCACCCCGCCCCCCGGGGGAGGAAGGGGACCTGTGGGCAAGTCCATGGGCAGATCTGGGATTTGGAAATGCAAAGTGAGGTGGCAGCTGAGATCGTGCGTCATCAGCTAGAATACAACACACATTTTTCTTCTGTCCAAGGGAAACTAGAAGCTACATGAATATGCTAAGGGGCCAGCGCTATAGAATTCAGTGTAGGAGCAAAGCAAAAACAAATGTAACTCCTGGAATGAGCAGGGGGTTGTGAACTAGATGTGACCTCCTGAGGTCCCTTCCAACCCAAATTTTCTATGATTCTATGAGTGTGCACTAGTTTATATGTGATCCTAGCAGTAATCTGATAGATGATATATAAAGTTTAAAAAGAAATGCAACAAAGTAGGCAAACATTCAGGTTCCGATCAAAGTAGAAACAAATATAACTAATGCCATATGTGCTTATTTGCTAGATTATCTATTAAGCTTAAAAAACATACCAAACTAGGCAAAAAACAGACATAATTTCATAGATTTCATAGACATCAGGGCTGGAAGGGACCTCGGAAGATCATCGAGTCCAGCCCCCCGCCCAAAGGGCAGGAAGTCAGCTGGGGTCATAGGATCCCAGAAAGATAAGCATCCAGCATGCATGCACAAATTGTCTGCATGCATTTGTGTCTTTGGCCCTGTAGCTGTTCTACTTAAATGAACATCTCTTATTTGGATTCATAAAACAACATCTAGCCTTCTTGCAAGTTGCAACAATGACTCCAGTAGTTCAGTCATTTCTACACCAGATTTAGAAATGGAAGGTGCAGAAGGGGTGACACATCATCTCGTAGAACAGTGGTTCTCACAACCTTTTTCATACCAGGACCCATTTGTAAACATCAATGGCCAGACCCCACCCAGTACCCCTTACTTCCAACCTGCTGTCCCCTGCTATCTGTGTGTGGGGCAGGGTGTGGGGCAAGGGAAGCCCCACATAGGCTGGAACTCTGCCAGCCTGCAAGGGAAAAGCCACAGTTTCCCACGTTTTTCTCCTTTAAAAGAGAAAACAATTTTAAAGTTTGTTCACAACCCTTTCATATATTCTTGTGATCCACTTTTGGGTCATGAACACAGCGCACATTTTTCTCCAGTTAAAAGGAAACTAGATGCTTTGCTAATATGCTACTGGGCCAGTGCTATAGTAGTCACTTTAAAATCAAAGCAAAAAAAACGTAACTACTGGAATATGCACTAGATCATATATAAATCTTAGCAGTTATTTGCTAGACTACATATATAACATATAAAAGGAAACACAACAAAGTCAGTAAAAAACAGTTTAAATAATCCAAAGATCTTGTGCCACTAGTCCTGTAGTGATTATAGCTAAATTACTAGATTATTGTTTCAGTGTAAAAAAAAAAAAAACCCAAAAAAACCCAACAACAACAAAAACCAACATAACAATCTAGGCAAGAGAGAGTTAAAAGATAGTATGTCTTTGGTCCTGTAGTCATTATAGTTAAATGTGTGTGTCATTCAGATTCACAATATAAAATCCAGCCTTTTGAGTGTCTTGACAGTGCCTCCAGTACCTCAGCTTCGGTCATTTCTGTACCTGAGTTCAAATGAGCACACTTGAGCTAAGGTTTTTAGCTAAAGCTACAAACAGGGCTGTGTAGCTAAAGCTACAAACAGGCTGAGACACGTTACCAGGAATGGCTGTTAGACAGCAGCATTGCCAAAGAAAGGGTGGTTTGAATGGTGGAAGATCAAGGCCATTGAAAAGGAGAAGGGGGTATTTTGTTAACAAATTTTGAGCAAAGTGGGAAGGGAA